GTTGGGCGTTTCCTGGCGCGCCATCATTACGTGGTCGTGTTGGAAGATCGTCTTCACAAAGGCAGGAAATAAAAAGTTTATTTTACAGTCGAACAAGTGACGGTGCTTGCCACTTCGGGAGGAGCTTGCCGCTCCTTCTTTGTTGGAAAATTCCAGAGCCGTGAACAATCTGTCACCAAGCACCGAATAACCGAAAATTAAGTTACTTTGCATCGAGAACTGGCCCTCCCGTCAAGATGAGGTGTGATCTTCATTTGTTGCTTCACTTCACTTCACTCTAGCTAGCTAAGCAGCCTTGGATGGGACGCAGCTACTGTAGCCACCCACGTACGACGGTACGTGCACATGCATCATTGCGCGCGCGCCCGAGAAACACATGGTCCTCGCCTGCTGTACCAGGCATGCCCGTGCGCCCACCGCCACGGGCGGCGCAGCCACGCACCATCGGGAGTCTGGACTACCCGATCCTATCCCGAGTACCCCGTGTCGTGAGGCCCAGGCTCCGTACGTCCCGCTCGCGGTCGGTCGACATGAGAGACAACGACGCCCCGCCACCGCGCGCCACGCAGCCAACGGAACGAGGCCACGGAGCCACGCGCCCTCCCGGCCCGGGGCCTATCTATGCGTGCGCGCGCGGCACGCGAGACCGATCGGCCGGTCGATCGTCACGCGTCTTTCCACGAGCTGGGACTCGAGTCGAGCTCGCCACGCGCCGGCGCGCGATTTGTGCTCGGACGAGACGATCGATCACCGCGCCGGCACAGCGACAGAGCTCGGGAAGCGTGCTCCGCGGCTTTTCGGCGGGCATGTGTCCGGTCACCATGCCGCCAGATGCGGCGGTTGCGATCGGGCGGTTGGCCAAATTAAACAAGCAAGCAAACAGTGGCGCGGGCAACAAAAATGCGTCGTGGTAGTAGAATATGTGTGAGGCGGCGAGAGGATAAGCACTGGCCGCCGGAGAGGAGAAGCGGCGAGGCAGCGGGCGAATGTTCCCGACGAATGCCGATCGAGCTCGCGGACCGCGACGGGAGTCGTCGTCCGTTTCTCGCGCTGCCGTCAGTGCTAGCGTGGTCACCTGCAGAAGAAGTGGAGGAAAAAGCAGCCCGTCTCACGGCCGAACAGCTTGCGATCACCTTCCGATCTTTACCACTTGGGGTTGGGGATCGATCGACTTCGGCTGGCGATCGTGACCGCACGTACGCAGCTAGGCGGCTAGTGGCTACAGCGTGTTACTGTCTGGTAATTAACCATGCCTAAATTAAACGCGATGTGCATCGAATAACGGATAAAGATCGTGCCGATGAATGATCCCTTTCGTTGACAGCGCACACGGACGATAAATATCGCCGCTTCACAGGTCAGTCGACCTTATCTGTGTAGTGTGGTCAATTTGACTGTACCGGTGATGTGCGCATGCACTCGACGTTTGTTTCTGTGGACGACCGCCGATCACATCCTTTAGCTGGATTTTGTCGTGTAATAATAAGACAAGACGCTAGTTGCATCCAAACTATCTTGGACACCGGATTGACGCGTTGGTCGATGCGCTGGAGACTTCTTTCCAATCGCAAGGTGTTTGGTTTAGAGCCAAAATATTTGGATCCTCCCTCGCCAAAATGAATAAATAAATTATTTGGACCTTCATAACTGGCGAACGATCGTCGGGGAAGGTGACAATTTTTAGTTCAAAGAAGGTGACAATTTGTTTAGAGCGGCATGTCAGTTTTACTTTTTTCAGAGAAGGCATTTCTTGTTTAAAAATTGCCGTAGTTTGATTTTTCTTCTCCACTAAAACTACCATCAAATGGCGTTTGCTCGCCCCCTCTCGTAGCGAACGTCAGCTAGGTAACATTACCGAAATATTTACCCAGACAATAAACTGCCATTTTTGAAATTTTCCTTCTGGGAAATTTCAAGAAGCATGTATACACGCTGCATGTCCCTGGTGCCCGCTTTTCATTTTGGCTTTCAATTTTAAAAAATATATTTTTAACAAGAATTCTAAATTAAGTTATGTTTTCGTATTCTTGTTTATCTTGACATGTGCTTTCAAATAATATCTATTTTGAATATATTTTGACGACTTCAAAAAATATGTTAAGTTTCAGTGCATGAACTTAGCACGAGAGAGCGATAAAAATCATTTACTTTGTGTCTACGACCGATAGAAAAATCTGCTTGAAATTATATCTCCAAATCTGGTTGAAACTTGGCAGTTTTAGAAGCAAAAATTGTAAGTTTCATTGTTGAAACTTTTTTTTAGAATTTTTCCTTTTTACTGTGCCCTCGGGCGAGATTGAACTACAACACAAATTGTGAGGCAAAACGAGTGGACAATAGGACTTTGGCAGGTGATTGCTCCCGCACTTGCGTGCCCCAGCGCATTCCCGGTTGCTGCGGGAATTGATTGCAATATATTTCAGTGATTTGAGTGTATGAAGCATGGATTATTGAATTAATAATATATGAGCTAAAACTAAAAATAAACATTATATATTGCATTTGATTATTGTGTAGTTTGGAAATATTTTAAATATAAGTGACATAACATGATGGAAAACATTTTTCCATGTATGCTGAGCGCCTGTTCCCCATGTCCCACCGGCCATGAGCCACGAGAACTAAAGATATCCACCTCTGCGAAGTGGCCTTTCTAGGACCCGAGCGCTAGAGACCTCCCATGGTCTACTCTTCCTCGCTGCTGGCGGCGCCCACGGACATGCCGACTTCGTCATTGTGACGACTGGGCATGACCGAGGCGGAATCCTTATCCTTGTCGCACACTTCATCCGTCGCCTCGTCGATCTCCTTGAAGGAGGCTTCTAACTCTGCCGGATGGATGCGGTACCGCCTGTGGTGGCAGCGAATGTCGTTGGTTTAGTGATATGATTTGAGCAGCGCCTCCTGCTCGCCCACGTCCATGCCCGCGCGATGCCTGCTCCGGTGGCAAGTTTCTCCTCCAAGTGCGGGTGCTCGTTGAGGAGGTTGAGGTTGTAAGCTTGTTCGGCCGGTGTCTGCCCGGACGCGGCCCTCCACTCTTCCAACACCATCTCGCTGTAGTAAGCACGTGCCTCACCCATGGTGATGCCAGCATAGGCCGACTCATCGTCGCCCCCCTCATCCATTGGGGCGTCCGCATCGCTGGCCTCCGGTGAGCTCGTCCGTCTTCTTGCATTGGCGGTGTTCTCCTTCTGCTCAGACGAGAGGTTGTCCCGGAGGGCTTTGGAGCTCGAGGAGGCCATGGCGGTCATGGCGTCGAGAGGAGATAGGGTCGAAGGAGGTTGGATGCGGTTGGTGTCGGGCCTGGAGTTTATATAACGGGCAGATGGCGGGGGCAGGTGGCGAGGTGGTAGCAGACGGACGGACGGGTGATGCAGGGAGTTGGATGGACGCGCTGTCATTTGAACGCGGGGCAGTCACGTGCACTAGAAGTTGCGCGGGCAACGC